CAGCAATCCCATTTTGCTGCGGTGAGTCCGGAAGCGTGAAGGTCTGACGGATGCCCCGTGCACGACAGTAGGCACGCAGAAGGCCAGAGGAGAACTCTCCGCCTCTGTCCGAGTGCAGACGCAGAACAGGAAAGTCCGAGCCGAAGCTCTGCCTGAGCTGGAGACGAGCTGCGCGGATCCAGTCGATCAGCACCTCAGTGACATCACCCTTGCTGCGCAAGGGGAAGACTGTGGTGTAACGCGAGTAGTCGTCAACAACGAGCAGGAAGTAGCGCTCGTGACCCTGTCCACGGACGCGGGCTGGGCCCCACACGTCCATGTGAAGTGTCTGCAACGGGGCCTCTGTCGGAGGAAACTGGGAGGAGTGAGGGGCAGCACGCAGGCGCCCCTTGACACAGGGGACACAGGCAGGGCCAGGGCCCTGAGGAAGGGGAGGGAGGGACCGGGGGAGACCGGACACAAGAAGACGGGAGGCCATACCTCTGAGCCGAAGCAGAGAGGGGTGGCCAAGGCGGTGGTGCCAGAGGAGAGTCTCGTGAGACAGGAGACGACACGAACAGGGGGCAGACTCAGGACCAGACCTGGACGCCGCAGCAAACACCTGACCCGACGTAACTACCCTACCAGACTCAGCAACTGGAGGAGACGCAGTGGTCAGAGTGTACAGGCTCGACCCCGGCTGACGGGTGAACGTAGCCAGGTGTCGGCCTGTGCCAGCCTCTGTACAGTGGGTCACTCTCTGACGTGCAGGAGTGAACTGGTGGACCCCCGCATCCTGTAGGTCAGCACCACTCACCAGGTTCGTAGAGAACGAGGGGAGGTAGAGACCAGACAGGGTGCCAGAGGGAGCCGCCGGACACGGGAGGACTGTGGAGAAGCGAGACAGGACAGGACCCCCAGAGGGGTCAGCCAGAGACACTGCAACCGGTCGACTCAGCGGTGTGAGTGTGGTGCGGTCCCGAAAGAAGGAGCGAGACGCCCCAGAGTCAAGGGTGAAGGTGAGGGAGGCCGAAGCCGACGCAGTACCTGAGAGCGCAGACTCACCAGTACCTGAGGACGCAGACACACGAGCACCTAGAGCAGCAGCGTCGCAAGCACCTAGGGCAGCAGCCTCACCAGGACCTAGAGCAGCAGTCTCAATGCCCGGATCGGGCGGGAAACACCGGTAACAGTCACCCTCATCACTAATAGACACAGCATACATGGCAGAGAGAATAGCATCAAAGTCAAGATCATAGATGGCAACACCCGCCCTAGACAGCTCGCCCCAGCGAGGGATCTCGGAGGCCTCCGGGAACTGGTGACGCCACGCGTCCGTCAGGCGGCCAAAGCAGCGCTGGGTGGGGTGGGGACCCCCACACTGCTCACCCGCACGGTCGCCAGTGCGCAAAACGTAGGAGCACGGACCAAAACCCCCACCCCGCTGACGCGCAGTGTACCACTCACGAAGCTGCTGAGGGGACAGGGTGTCACGACCACGCTGCTGCTGCTGGCGCGAGCCACCACCGGAGCCACTCCTCTGCGAAGACCCGCGACCAGCACCACCGCCACCCCCGCCGCCTCCGACGCCTCCGCCGCCTCCGCTACTGCCGCCGCCTCCGCCTCCGCCGCCGCCTCCACCTCCGCCACCTCCACCACCTCCGCTCCCACCGCCACCGCCGCCGCCACCTCCACCTCCACTGCCGCCACCGACCCCTCCACCCCCACCTCCACTCCCACCGCCACCCCCACTCCCCCAACTGCCGCCACCTCCACCTCCACCGCCCCCGCTCGCTCCTCCAGCGCCCTTGCCCCCCTTGCCCTTGCCAGAGCGGCGTCTCCCGCTAGGGGCAGACGCCGCACCGACCGACTCAAGAACAAGGAGGTCGGCCGCAGCAGCAGAGGCAACAGAGGGCAGAAGGGGGGAGGGGGAACACCCCTCAAAGATGGGGGTGCGCGGGTCACCACGAGAGGCCCCTACAGCGACTATGCTCTTCTCGGCCGCTAGGAGGGACTTCTCGAGGAGGTCAACAGTGAGAGTGGTGGGACAGACAGAGAGAAAGTGGTCCCTGACTACGCGAAGGGAGTCAGGAAGGCGAGTGACTATGTAGTAAAGAGTGATGTACATGGGGGGGGGGTTCCTGGCGCAGAAGTCAGGAGGGAGTGCAGCGCGGTAGCGAGTGTCACTAGTGCGGAGGTGCGTAATGAGGTCAGTGACTGTGGGAAAGGCAGTAAGATCAGGAAAGAGGTACGGTAGCATGAGACGGCTCAGTGCAGCAGTGGCAGGGGAGGAGTAGCGCGCAACTACAGCGTCGTACAAGGTCTGAGCACTCTTGTACTGACTAAAGTGCGCACGCTCGGAGGTAGGGAGGTGGCGACGCACAGCAAGACGTGCAGCAGCGTCGCGCGTGGCCCACTGGGAGCGAATAGTGGCGTCAGCATCAGCAGCAGGGGCAGTGGAGGTGCCAGAGGTGAGGTCAAAGAAAGAGAGGCCGTCTGCCCTATCGCACTGTAAGAACAGCTGCAGGTCATCTACCCAGACCTCAAAGTCAATGGCCCTACCCTCAGCGTCAAAGGCGAGAACACTAGGGGTAGCCATGACCCTAGACGACTAGCAGCGCAAACAGTGGGGTGAGGACAGTGCAGTGAAAAGGCGCTGTGCTCACCAGACTGGGCAGGTCGGGCGGCCCTGAAGGAGGGCGGCGCGGCGGCTCGGCGACTCAGCTGCTGGGCGGCCCGGCGGCTCGGCGGCTCCGCTGCTGGGCGGCTCGGCTGCTGGGCGGCTCGGCTGCTGGGCGGCGCGGCCGCTGGGCGGCTCGGCTGCTGGGCGGCTCGGCTGCTGGGCGGCTCGGCGGCTCGGCTGCTGGGCGGCTCGGCTGTGCTGCTGCAGGGCACGGGGCCGCAGGTAAGGGCGGCGGGGCCGCTGGTAAGGGCGGCGTGGCCGCGGGTAGGGTGGCGGGGCCGCAGATAGGGTGGCGGGGCCGCAGCAGAGGGCGGCGGGGCCGCAGGTAAGGTGGCGGGGCCGCAGGTAAGGTGGCGGGGCCGCAGGTAAGGTGGCGGGGCCGCAGCAGAGGGCGGCGGGGCCGCAGGTAAGGGCGGGGCCGCAGGTAAGGTGGCGGGGCCGCGAGGAAGGGCGGCGGGGCCGCTAGGTAGGGCGGCGGGGTCGCGCGATGGGGCGGCGAGGCCGCGCGATGGGGCGGCGGGGCCGCTAGGTAGGGCGGCGGGGCCGCTAGATAGGGCGGCGGGGCCGCGCGATGGGGCGGCGGGGCCGCGATGGGGCGGCGGGGCCGCTAGGTAGGGCGGCGGGGCCGCGCAATGGGGCGGCAAGGCCGCGAGGTAGGGCGGCGGGGCCGCTAGGTAGGGCGGCGGGGCCGCTAGGAGAGAGGCGGCGGGGCCGCGAAGACGGGCGGCGGGGCCGCGGAGACGGGTGGCGGGGCCGCAGTGCAGGGCCGCTAGGGCGGCTCGACGAAGTGAGGGCCCGGAGCGCGACTCGGGCTGAGCGCGCTTCGGGCAGGAAAAAAAAATCGATGTGGTGGGCCCTAAGCACAGTTCCCAAGGGGGAACCTGCTCGATACCATGAGAAGATTTGAACAAGAATGAATGAACTATGAAATGAAGTGAGTACAAATATGAAACCCTAATTGGTTGTACCCCCTATGGGATACCCCACTATAGCCTACACAACAGCATAAGCTATAATGTTCTGACATGACTGCGCAGGTGCCGACTGCTGGTGTTGCTCGTAGAAGGACATGAAGGAGAAGAACTTCTCCATCATGTCTTGGTTGAAGTCTGCAGACTTATTCGCAGGAGTTTCAGTGGACCTTGCTGCTGGTCTGTCTGTAGGCCAGAGGCAGGAGGTGGAGCAGGGGTAGTGCCGGGAGAACCATTAGAGGAACTCCTCTCCTTCTGGGTAGCCATGCCTTCTGATGTTGTAGGTGTCTTGATAGTGGAATTTGTCTTGACCGCTCTCATACCATGTTGGGCTGAAAAGGCCTTTAGGATCTTTACAGGACTAAACTCCTGGTAGGACTGATGTAATAGCGGAAGCGTTTAATGAAGAGTTGTGAACCACCTTGCGCTGGTATGTGAGGGCAAAGTAGATTGATTAAAACAAGGAGATACAATATTATATAAGAGTACAAGGAATATGAAGAGATGCAGTTATAACTACATTACTGTTGCTGTTGCGGTTCGATACAGTGACGACTCGGGCAACTGCTCTGTAACGAGTCAGTTGTGTGTCCTTGCTGTCGCGCTGTACTTGTCAGGTCAAAGGTCTCTGACCTTTGACTTTCGCATAACCTCCAGCAGTTACTTCAACCTCCGAGGGTTGACTCGCTGGTGCTTCGATATGTTTCGCTTCGCTTGTGTCTTGGTGTTTCGACACGACAGAGGTGCTTTAAGTTAGTTGTTTCCAACAGGAGGGAGCTAGAAGTGGAGGGAGTTGAGGGCGCATACGAGCTGGGACGACTTTTGAGACGTCTCAAAAGTCTTGGGGGGCTAGGTGCATCTGGGTATGGAGCTAGAGGTGCAGGGAGCTGAGGGCGCGTACGAGCTGGGATGGAGCTGCATACGAGCTGCATACGAGCTGGGCAGGGCAAGGTCAAGCTTTCTGACAGAACTGAAGCATGTTCATGTGTTGGCTGTGTTGGGGTGATGGGGCTTTTTTACCTGCTGATGTTTTTATACTAGAATCTTAGTGTACCTGTAGGTTGATTTAACTCAGCAGTAGGCAGCACACACTAGCAGCAGCTGAGCATTAACACAAACAAACCACTTCTCATTGTAAAAACCGTGTGTAATGAGTCTGCTTTTGAGTCAACTCAAAGGTAGCACGCTGCACACACTAGCAGTAGCTGAACACAAACACAAACAGTATAACACAGTGCATCAGTACCATATTTGGTATTGTCCAGCACCCATCAGTTGTCTATACCAGCACCCCGAGAACCAGCAGCACCACCAGAAGCACCACCGCCAGCAGCAGCCGCACCATCCCCAGCAGCACCATCGCCCCATCATTGCCCCATGCCCCCCATCTTCCCGCCGAGGATATTCGCAAACTCGGACGAGTTCATCTGCTTCATCAGGTTTTGCAGCCCGTTCAGCCCGCCCATCTGCTGCAGCATCTGCGGCGGCAGTGCCCTCGCCATCTGCGCCGCGTTCATGTTCCTCGCAGCCGCACCCATGTCGCCGCCCAAACCACCGCGCTTCCCTCCCCCGCCCATCATCTTGAGCCCCTTCATCTTGCTCCAGATCTTGTCCATCTTGCGGTATTCCTCCAGCAGCTCCTGCACCTCCAGGGGGTGCCGGCCCGAGCCTCTCGCTACGCGGATGATGCGCTTGGTGTCGTGAAACAACTTGGGGTTGGTGCTGTCCAGCTCTGGAAGGGTGACCGGGGGGGAGGGGGGAGAAGGGAGGAGGGGAGCGCAGGGCAAGCGCGTAGAAACAGGGGGTGTGGGGCATGGGGTATTGGAAAAAGGGATGGGAGCACACAGGGGAGTGCAACGGGCCCACGGCCACTGAAGCCTATCATGTTCATCATCTTGAGGCCCTTCATCTTGCTCCAGATCTTGTCCATCTTGCGGTATTCCTCCAGCAGCTCCTGCACTTCTAGCGGGTGCCGCCCTGAGCCCCGCGCTACGCGGATGATGCGCTTGGTGTCGTGAAACAGCTTCGGGTTCGTGCTGTCCAGCTCTGGAGGGGGGAAGGGGAGAGGAAGGGAAGGGAGAGGAGGGGAGGAGAGAGGAAGGGAAGGGAGAGCAGGGAGGAGAGAGGAAAGGAGCACAGAGGAAGGGAGCACAGAGTAAGTGCGAGAAAACAGGGGCTGTGGGGCGTAGGGTATTGGAAGCTGTACCGACTTTTCAAGGCACCCTCCTCACTCGTCTCACAGAATCGTCCCATCACCCCTTCCTCCCCCCCACCTCCCACCCACGCACCGTGCTCGGTCATGGGAGTTCATGATGCTCATCAATCATTGAGGTGCCTCAAAAATCACCGTGCTCGGTCATGGGAGTTCATGATGCTCATCAACTTCTTCAGCCGTGCCGACTTTTCAACCCACCTTCCTCAACTGTCTCATCGAATCGAAACATCAAATTGTCTCATCCACCCCTTCCCCCGCCCTCCCCCTCCCCCTCCCCCTCTCCCACCCACCGTGGTCAGTCATGGAGTCCATGATCGTCCTAAACTTCTTGAGCCGCGCTGCATATTACAGGCACCTTACTCATTCATCTCATCAAATCGTTGCATTCATCTCTTCCCTCCCCTCGCTTCGTTCCCCTCTCCTACCCACCGTGGTCAGTCATGGAGTCCATGATCGTCATGAACTTCTTGAGCCGCGCTGTGCTCTCCTTCTCCCGCCCCTTGGGCATCAGCTCCTGGGTGAACCCTGGGATCATCGACATCACCTGATTGCAAGAAGAGGGAGAGGGGGGAGAGGGTCGGGGGAGGGAATGGAGGGATGAATGAGGGGGAGGTGAGACCTGGTGCACGGAATTCAACGCTGCTTCTTCCGCCCCTTGAGCATCAGCTCCTGGGTGAACCCTGGACATCACCTGCTCGCATCGCATGTGCGCGCACAGGGAATGGGGAAAGGGTCGGCGGAGGAACAGAGGGATGTGGGGGTGGGGGTGGGGGTGGGGGTGTAGACAGACATGAACGGGAATGAGAGACCTGTTGCACAGTAGGAACCCCCCCTTGAGGGGAAGGGGTCTCACCTGCTCGGGAAATGAAACACTCCTGGAATCGTCTCTCTCACCTGTCCGAGCGGCCCCAGCTTGAGGATGTTTTGGAACTGCTCGTACATGATGCGCAGCGTGCCACAGAGCAAGCCCAGCTCTCAACCCCCAAGCACCCTTCCTCCCCTCCCCCTCCCCCTCCCCTCTCTCCTACCGGCCCACTCTCACCTGTCCGAGTGGGCCCAGCTTGAGGATGTTTTGGAACTGCTCGTACATGATGCGCAGCGTGAAGTGCCCCTCCTGCAGCTTCTGCAGCAGCTCCGGCTGCTGGTCCATGGGGATCACGTCCTGAATGCGATCCATGAACCCCGTCCAGTCGCCCATGCCTGCCGATACCAAGGGAGGAGGCGGAGAGGGGGTGGGGGGAGGGGCGGAGAAGGAAGCAAGGGGGCCCACAGGGGGGGAATAGGTGGCACCGGGAGGAAGGAAGAGGGGGGGCACATTAGCACAGCGTGCACAGGAGATGGTGAACGAGTCGGCTCAACAGCAGCTTCTGCAGCAGCTCGGGCTGCTGGTCCATGGGGATCACGTCCTGTCTGCGATCCATGAACCCCGTCCAGTCTCCCATGCCTGCCCGTACCCGTGGGGGGAAGCGGGGGAGGGGAGTATTGGGGAGAGGGAGGGGGGTGTTGGTAGGGAGGGGGGGGTGTTGAGGGGGGAGGGGGCGAAGGGTACACACAGGCAGCACCCGGGGTGGGCGAGACATAAGTGGGCTCGAAACCCATACACTGAAAGTTCAAATTCGTTTCCTGAAAAACTCCTCCTACACACTCGCATCTTCCCCCCTTTTTCCCCCTCTCCCCCCTCCCCCCTCCCCCCTCCCCCTTTCCCCATCCATCACCCATTCCGCTTTTCCCCATCCACTCCTACCCTCCTTCCCCCACCACTCCCTGCGTACCCAGCAGTCTGCTGACAAAGGCCTTGGTTTCGAACTGCTCAAACTCGTCTATGTGCTCTCCTGTACCGATGAAGATCACTGGCGATTTGGTGGCCGCCACACTGGGAGGGAGTGGGGGAGGAAGGAGAAAAGGTGGGGAGGGAAAAAGGGAGGGGGGGGGGAGGGGGAAGGGAAAACTCGTACGTTTTCTCGTGCGCGCAAATTAAAGATTTCTTACAACCCTCAAACATGTGACACTGTAAAGATGTGACCTTTGAGTCACATCAGACGACAGCCATGCAGGATTCACAAGAGCTCATTCATGCGCTGAGGCTGTTAGGAAGAGCACGCTCACGCGCTGAGGGCGCCACCACCCTTGGCGTGGCCGTCCATCTTGGTGATGATGACCGCCCCCACGGGCACGCTCGCCTTGAACGCCTGCGCCTGGTCGTACGCCGCCTGGCCTATGCTGCTGTCCATCACGAAGAGCACCAGGTCGGGGTTCTGTGGCATGTGGGGGAAGGGGGAGGGAGGAGAAGGTAATGGGAAGGTAGATAAAGTGAGGAGATAGGGTCAGGCTGTAAGGAAAATCACGCAGAAAAGAAAAACGAACAGATGCAGCCCGGTACACAAATGACAACCAATACACATACACACATAACATAAGCAGTACATGCATAGGGTCGCGCATAACAGAAGCAGTACATGCATAGGGTCGCGCATAACATAAGCAGTACATGCATAGGGTCGCGCATAACAGAAGCAGTACATGCATATATACATATGAGGAACATAAAAATTTGCAGGCGAATGTACAGGGCGGGAGGAAGCCTGACCGTGAGCTCGGAGCCTTGGCGCATCTCCTCAAAGAGCGAGTGGAGGAAGGAAACCGGGTAGGGGTACATACATCATACATGGATATGTATGCATATACATAAGCTAGTTCACCAGGTGGGTGGGAGGGATGGCGGGGGCATCACCGTGAGCTCGGACACTTGGCGCATCTCCTCAAAGAGCGAGGCCTCCTGCTTGTGGCGACCACTGGTGTCGATGATGATCAGGTCGCACCCCTCCTTCTTCATGATCGCCACGCCCTCCTGCGCAATCTTCGCCGGATCCGTCTCCGTGTAGCTGGCGGTGGTGGTGCAGCGATGAGGGTCGGCACAGGAAAGTGGGAGGGAATGGGAGAGGGAGCGATGGGTAAAGAGAGTGGAGAGGGAAGGCACCCCTCCTTTTTCATTATTGCCACGGCCTCCTGGGCTATCTTCGCCGGATCCGTCTCCGTGTAGCTGGGGACAGTGGAGCAATGCAGCAGTGGAGGTGTGGCGTGCGGCAGTGAATGGTGGGAGAGGAGAGGAGAGGAAAGCATTGGGATTGGGGATCAGGGTGAGGGGCGGTAAGAGGGGTTGAGAGAGCAGCAGAGAGCCTCCTGCTTATGACCACTGGTGTCGATGATGATCAGGTCGCACCCCTCCTTCTTCATGATCGCCACGCCCTCCTGCGCAATCTTCGCCGGATCCGTCTCCGTGTAGCTGGCGGTGGTGGTGCAGCGATGAGGGTCGGCACAGGAAAGTGGGAGGGAATGGGGGAGGGAGCGATGGGTAAAGAGAGTGGAGAGGGAAGGCACCCCTCCTTTTTCATTATTGCCACGGCCTCCTGGGCTATCTTCGCCGGATCCGTCTCCGTGTAGCTGGGGACAGTGGAGCAATGCAGCAGTGGAGGCGTGGCGTGCGGCAGTGAATGGTGGGAGAGGAGAGGAGAGGAAAGCATTGGGATTGGGGATCAGGGTGAGGGGCGGTAAGAGGGATTGAGAGAGCAGCAGAGAGCCTCCTGCTTGTGGCGACCACTGGTGTCGATGATGATCAGGTCGCACCCCTCCTTCTTCATGATCGCCACGCCCTCCTGCGCAATCTTCGCCGGATCCGTCTCCGTGTAGCTGGCGGTGGTGGTGCAGCGATGAGGGTCGGCACAGGAAAGTGGGAGGGAATGGGGGAGGGAGCAATGGGTAAGGAGAGTGGAGAGGGAAGGCACCCCTCCTTTTTCATTATTGCCACGGCCTCCTGGGCTATCTTCGCCGGATCCGTCTCCGTGTAGCTGAGGACGGTGCAGCGACGAGGGGGAGGGAGGGACGGAGGGAGAAGGGAAGAAATTGCAAGAGAGAAGCGTGAGAAAGAGAAAGAGCTCTTCATGATCGCCACGCCCTCCTGGGCTATCTAGGCTGGATCCATCTCGGTGTAACTGACAACAGTGCAGCAGTGGAGTGAAGCAATGAGGTGGGAGGGGGGAGAGGGGACGAAGGGACAGAAATCCAACCACCCACACACCCACCATGCACCCACCCACACACCCACCCACCCATGCATCGCAGTACGCACGCACCTGCCATAGAATGGGATCTTGGCCTTGGTGGCGTTCTGCTTGAGCTCCGAATCAACTCGTCAACACACCGCGACAACATACCCCACCCATTCCCCAACCCCCCCACCCTGCACACACGCACCTGCCATAGAAGGGGATCTTGGCCTTGGTGGCGTTCTGCTTGAGCTGGTCGAAGGCACCTGCGCGGAAGGTATCCGCGCAGATGAGCGCGGGCTTCCACCCCTTGCGCTGGTAGAAGTGCGCGTACTTGCCACACGTCGTTGTCTTTCCCGACCCTGAGGGGGGTTGACGCGAGAGGAAGCGAGGGGGAGAGGGGGGAAGGAGGGGGGCGATGGGGAGAGGGAAGGAAGGAGAAGGGGAGGGAGAGGGGAGATATGGGGAGGGAGAGAGGGGGAAAGAAGGGGAGAGAGGGAGAGAGATGGGGAGAGAGAGGGGGAGAGAGAGAGGGAGAGAGAGGACGAGAGGGGGAGAGAAGGACGGAGGAGAAGGAGAAGGACGGGGAAGGAAGAGTGGAAGGAGCACTGGAGAAGCAAGAGACGGAGGGAGCGAGGCAAGGAGGAGGGAGCGAGCGAGGGAGGGAGGAGGGGCAGACGGACCTTGCAGGCCGACGAACATGATGATGTTGGGCTTGCCCTTCTTGGGCTGGTACGGCGTCGTGTTGGGGTCCAGCATGTTGCACAGCTCGTTGAATATCGCCTGCCGCAGCACACAACGATGCCCCCAGAAAATGTGAATGCACGGGACGCGGGGAACAGGGAGAAGGGAGTGGGGGGAAGGGGGAAGGAAGACGGGAGAACTTTGAGTCGACTTAGGATACAGCAGCAGCAGCAGCAGCAGCAACAACAACAACCCTAAGCGACCTCCGCTTGTTATGCCCTGCCGAGAGCTCCTCGAGGCTGACGACACGTCGGCATCTGAGTCGACTCAAACACCCAGCAGCAGCTACAACAGCGGCAGCGGTGACAGCAGTGGCAACCCCAACACGCACCTTTTCAATGATGATTCGCTTGTTATGCCCGACCGCGAGCTCCTCGAGATTGACGATGCGCTTGATGTTCTGCTGCAGGCCCATGACCATCTTAAACGACACGTCGGCCCCTGACCCGAGCTAACAACACAGCCACAGCAGCAGCAGCAGCAGCAGCAGCAACTGCAACCCCAACACCCACCTTCTCAATGATGATTCGCTTGTTATGCCCCGCAGCCAGCTCCTCGAGATTGACGATGCGCTTGATGTTCTGCTGCAGGCCCATGACCATCTTAAACGACACGTCGGCTCCTGACCCGAGCTAACAACACAGCCACAGCAGCAGCAGCAGCAGCAGCAGCAGCAGCAACTGCAACCCCAACACGCACCTTTTCAATGATGATTCGCTTGTTATGCCCGACCGCGAGCTCCTCGAGATTGACGATGCGCTTGATGTTCTGCTGCAGGCCCATGACCATCTTAAACGACACGTCGGCCCCTGACCCGAGCTAACAACACAGCCACAGCAGCAGCAGCAGCAGCAGCAGCAGCAGCAGCAGCAGCAACTGCAACCCCAACACCCACCTTCTCAATGATGATTCGCTTGTTATGCCCCGCAGCCAGCTCCTCGAGATTGACGATGCGCTTGATGTTCTGCTGCAGGCCCATGACCATCTTAAACGACACGTCGGCTCCTGACCCGAGCTAACAACACAGCCACAGCAGCAGCAGCAGCAGCAGCAGCAGCAGCAGCAGCAACTGCAACCCCAACACCCACCTTCTCAATGATGATTCGCTTGTTATGCCCCGCAGCCAGCTCCTCGAGATTGACGATGCGCTTGATGTTCTGCTGCAGGCCCATGACCATCTTAAACGACACGTCGGCCTGCAGCAGCGCGCGCGTGATCTCGTTGAGGCACTCGTTGAGCGCCTTCTCGTCGATCACCGTCACGCGGTTCATCGCCTGGATGGCGCGCGATATGCGCCCACCCAGCTCCGCGAGCACCATCTTGGCGGACGGATTCGCGCGGGGGGGAAACCCGAAAAGGGGAGGGGTGGGGAGAAGACGGCGACGGCGACGGCGACGGTGACGCCGACGATTACGACGACGCGCGAGACAACGATGAGGGGTGCGAAAACGACGGGGGTTGTGAGGCCAATAAGTGGGAGATTGACCGGAAGAGTACGTAGGGAATAGAGGGCCGGGGGGTTGGGAGTGAAGCGGACTCTAGATTTAGTGACGAGTGAATCGCGACACAGGAATGGGATTACGATGGTGGTAAAACGGGACCGACGAGCGACCGCGAGGGAGAAAGAGATACAGGGAAAAAACGAGCGGGATTAGCTTGTTAGACGGATGATGGTCAGGCGGAGGGATTTTCGCGAATAAAGATGCTTTCGCGAAAGATTTAGTGGCCTAACTAGAGACGGTTCAAGAATCCACGTGACGACGTGGCAGAGGGACTAAGAGCACGGAATTAGGGAAGGTTTGCCAGTGGAGGGATTCGGGAGTGTTTGATGAGAAGCAAGAGGTTCATTTGGGCTAATGTTATTAACAAAACATTTCGGTTCGTTCTTCCTCGGTTCCTGACAGAACTGCAGGCTTTATCTGTTCAGCAGTTCGCCAGTCGGAGGAGGGAAACACTGACCTTTTCGGTTTCGAAAATGGCTCAATCGGGCGGTGGTGTAGCTAGGAATCCTCCCATCAATTGCATCATCTTTACTATGAGTTGATAGATAAACAGAATCACATTCATAAGCAGCTAAAACAGGTTGTTTACAGACTTGTCTCCACTAACAGTGCATCACATTCCTGCTCAGTTTGAAAATGGAGCATCCAGATGACCCCGCCCTTACCCTTAAGCTTGACAACAAGGCTGGCTGCTACAAATGAATGGCTAACAGTTTCACTAACAAACAAATCACTCGAGTCAGCCAATCAAAACTTCTGGGTCTGGGCTGGGGCAGTGCCAAATTTCCCACACTTTCCGCTTGCCGGCCGGATCCAATCCAAAGTAACCCACCCGCCAGCCCGCCATCACACCTCGTGAGCAACCATCACCGTACCATCGCAGGGTATTGTATTTCATCTCAATCTCAATCTACACCAATCAATGGCCTGACGAAGCGCTCCGACGCTGAGCTGGCCCGCCACTGCCACCCCCTCTCGGGCTCTCTCCAGGGCTGCCCCCCGGTGACCCCAACCCACCTCCCCTGCTGCCCCCACCTGCTCCGCCCCTGTACTGCTGTCCTGCTCCTCCCCCTCCTCCCCCTCCTCCCCCTCCACCTCCCCCTCCGCTTCCACCCCCTCCGCCACCTCCTCCCCCGCCCTCCTGCTGCTTCAGAGCTTGTAATCGAGAGTGCAAGGGCTCTGTGCTTCCAGCTGCTGCCCTACCAGACACCCTACCACTACCACCACCAGCAGCAGCAGCAGCATTGCTGCTGCTGTTGTTATTACTGCCACTGCTGCTGCTGCTGCTCTGACCAGCCCCTCCTGCTGTCATTGGCCGTTCCCCAAGTCCCAAAGAGCTCCGCCCTCGTCCGCCCGATCCCCCTCCTGATCCCCCTCCGCCCCCCCCAAGCCCGCTCCCCCCCGGGCTGCTGCTTCCACTAGGGCTGTTCACCACCTGATCGATCCACAAATCCAGCTTCGACGTCGTCGCACGGTCAATCCACATTCTCAAATCCTGCGCTTCCTTCTGCTGAGCACCCGTGCGGATCTGCCTCTTGGGCGGCTCCAAACTGGCACTACGCCACAAGGGGGAGGGATTCCCTGCCCCGCCTCTCCCCGGCCCCATCCCCCCACCCATCCCCATCCCATAACCAAACCCTCCTCCACCCCCTGCTCCCCCTCCTCCTGCACTGCCCCCGCTCCCTCCCCCTCCTCCCAGCCTCCCATGTCCGTACGGCTCTGCTAGCATGTGTCTTGATCCCACCCCTCCCTCTCCACCTCCCCTGCCCGGCCCACCACCACCACCACCTCCTCCTGGGCTGTCCCCTCCAGCAGTTAGATTGGTGAGGCGCGAGAGGAGAGACGACACAGGGTACTCGCCCCCCTCGGGAGTGAGGGAGCGGCGCAGGCCAGACGCCTGGTGCGTGGGACCGCGGGGGATTGCAGCGCCGGCGCCTGCATGCAGGCTGGACGAGTGCTGGTGGTGCGAAGCATGCGGATGCGGATGCGGATGCGGGAGGGCATGGGTTTGAGAAGAATGACCCTGGGGATGGTCTCGCTCTCTGTCCGAAGTCCCCTCGCTCCCAGATGCATGCCCTGACATATTACCACCACCAGCACCAGCACCAGCACCAACAGAGGCTGGGTGTGTTGTTGGGCGGGCACGGGCTGGAGAGCGCAAGGGAGACCTGCCGTGGGGATCCGCTCCTCCTCCACCCGCACCTCCCGACCCTCCTCCTCCTCCCCCTCCTCCTCCTCCTTCCGCTCCTCCTTCTCCTCCTCCTGCCCCTGCCACAGGTCCTCCTGCGCCCAGGTGTAGCCCGTCCATGCCAGTGCCACCCTTGTCTCTCCTGCGCCGCCTGTGGTCCTCAGGGCGAGGCAGGCGGGAGTCCATGCGAGGGCTAGACAGCAGCCCACCAGAGGAGCTGGAAACCACACCTGAGGCGGACACTGAGCTGGGAAAGGCCAAGCCTGGAGACATCGACCCTTGATGGACCCCGCTCCCTGCTGCTGCTCCCACTCCTGCTCCAGCTGATGCTGATGCGTGCACGCGTTCCGGGCTGAGAGGAACAGATGAGGCGGAGCCGAAACTGAAAGCAAACCCATCAGCAGCACCACCATCCATCATCATTCTCGCACCTCCAGGCCCTCCCTCCGCGCTGCCCCGCCCAACCGGGCCCCCTAGGGAGCGTCGGCGGGTGGGGGAAGGCGAGGGGCGGGTGGGAGGCGAGTCAGGGTCCGCTGCAGCAGCACTGATCCGAGGAGGGCTGGAGGGGCGGGCGAAAGTGGGGGACAATCCCAGCATGGGAACCACGGCTGATTGCGAACGTGTCGCTGCCACCGCTCCTCCTGCTCTCCCTCCCGGCCCTGTACCCGCAAACCCCCCCGTGCTTCCTCCACCGCCCCCTCCTCCTCCTCCTCCTGCATTACTCTTTCCTTGCCCTCCTCCCAAGCCTCCCCCTCCCCCTCCCCCTCCCCCTCCTCCTCCTCCTCCCCCGCCTCCTCCTCCCCCTCCTCCTCCGCCCCCACTTATCTTGGACCAGATTTCTTCCATAGTGGGGGCACTTCCTGTGCTGCCATCGTCACTCGTCAGCCCCCCATCCTGCTGCCCCATATACAGCTGCTCCTCCTCCCCTGCCTCCTCTGCATGCTCATTCCATCCCGCCCTGCCACTCTCCCTACCCCCACCACCATCACCACCAGCGGCAGCGGTAGCAGCACGGGGAGGAGCGGCAGCAGCAGGTGCAGCAGGGGACCCAGCGGCCCTACTTCTTGGTGACAGCGGTGGCCTCGGTCCGCCTCCTTCCCTCACGCCACCACCTGGGTTCCTCTTTCCCCCGCCACCACTACCACCACTTGCACCTTGCCCACTGCTGCTCAGCTGACCTGATGCTCCTTCAAAGCCTCCTCCTGTTCCTGCTCCAGCTGCTGCGGGTCCTCCTCCCTGTCTCCTGGGGCTGAGAGGAGGCATCTGCCCATCATATCCTTGCCTTTGACCTCCTGACCCAGAGACTGCCCCACCTGAACCACTTCTCCCACTTCCTCTGCCCAAACCCACTGCCCCACTTGCTCCTGCTCCTGCTCCACCTTTCAGCACCGCTTTCCGCCCTTCAGAACCACTAGTCGTGCCACTACCCCTCCGTACAGCCCTTGGAGACTTAAGCCCCTCACTCCACCTATTCTCCTCCTCCTCCTCCTCTTCCTCCTCTTCCTCCTCCTCCTCCTCCTCCTCTTCCTCACTCTCCGTCTTCACCCCTCGTCCTCCTCCTCGTACGTTTTCCCTGGTTCCCCCACCTGACCCAGACCTACCACCACCACTGCCACCACCACCACCAGTAGCTAATCCTCCTCCTCCACCCCCTCCCCCTGCATCCGCGCCTGCACCTGCCCCCTCCGGCACAGGTCTCATACGCCTGGGGGAAGACAAAGGTGGCTTGTGCCGTCCCCCCCCACTCCCCCCGCTGCCCCCCCCACTGCTGTATCCCTCCCCTCCAAGCTCCCGCGCCCCTCCCACTCTCCCCACTGCTCCTCCTCCCCCCCCCCCCTGCTCCGCCAGCCCCTTTATACCTCCTAACAGTTGCGGACGAAACGGAAGCATCCGAGAAGAACCCGCTACTGTCCGAATCACTAGTCATATCGCTCCACACATCCACATTGGGCGACTGCTGCAGACTCAGCTTCACCATCCGTTTCCGAGACCGCGACGCTGCCGCCGCCGCTGCAGCAGCAGATGCGCTCGTGCTGCCTCCCCCTCCCGCCGCCGCCGCTGCCCCTTCCTCTGCATGCAAGTCCTTCAAAGCCACCACACTCTCTCTAATCGCTCGCTCCAGATCCCGCGGCCGGATCGGCTTGGATAAATAATGGTCCATGCCAGCAGCAATGCACTTCTCCTTGTCCTCGCTAAGAGCGCTTGCGGTAAGAGCGATGATGAACGTGCGGTGCGGGCGCGGGAGGTGGCGGCACGGCGGGGGGTTCCCGGGGTTCTGCTGTTGCAGGAGCTTGGCTGCAGCCTTGGCTTCCTTGTATGCGCGCACTCGCTCCACCTCCATTTCTCGGATCTTCTGTGTTGCCTCAAAGCCATCCATCTCCGGCATGTGGCAGTCCTGTGGAGGGAAGGGAAGGGAGAGGAGGGGGATGGAAGAAGGGAGTACGAGGGAAGAGAAGGAAGCGGTGGTAGGAGAAAGTCAGTCATCTCAAAACCTTCCATCTCTGGCACAGGGCATTCCTGTGGAGGGGGGGGTGGGGCAGAACAATGTGCCTTGAACAAAGCAGTGACAGCGACGGTATTGGACTGACAGTGACAGCGACAAACAGATGCACAAAGCAGTGACAGCAACAGTATTGGACTGACAGTGACAGCGACAAACAGATGCACAAAGCAGTGACAGCAACGGTATTGGACTGACAGTGACAGCGACAAACAGATGCACAAAGCAGGCACGCACGCCTGGCCACCAACGTTTTCCACCACACAATACCACACTCCACCCCATCCCACCCCATCTCACACCCCAGCAAGCCCTGCAAGGCAAGAGAAAGAGAGGGCCGGTGCGCCCCACCCACCCACCCACCCACCATGAGCACGACTTCGTATTTGCGTGCCTCGCATGCGCTGAGTGCGAGGCGGCCGTTCTCCACGAGGTCGTACTTGATGCCCAGGTTGTGCAGCATGCGCGTTGCCACCATCTGATTCACCTTGTTGTCCTGGTGGGCGAGGAAGGGCGGGGGAAGGGAAGAGGTTGCGGGGGAAGGAGGTAGGGTCAGAAGGGAGTGGGGATGGCAAGGGGGGGAGAGGTTGATGCCCAGGTTGTGTGGCATGGACACACACACACACCCCTCTGCCACAAGCACACACCCCAGCCAATCGAACGGGCAAACCACACGTAACCAGCACACCAGAGCACATACCTCTGCCAAACCATCAGGCAAGCACATAATCAGTACAAGAGAGCACAGCACACCCACCTCGGCCACGAGCACGCGCATGTTCTGCAGGTGGCGCCACAGCAGCCCCTCTTCTGCCGACTCTGCTTCCGACGACACGGCGCCTCCGCCCCTGGGCTGGTCCGGCACGACGAGCAGGTTGACAAAGAAGAAGAACACGGAGCCCTGCCCCACCTTGCTCTCCAGCCCTATGTCCCCCCCCATCAGGTTGCACAGCGACTTGCAAATCGCCAGCCCTAGGCCTGTCCCTCCGTACTTGCGACTCGTAGAGTTGTCCGCCTGGAGGGGAAGGAGAGGAGAGGTGGTGGGTAGGTTAGTTCTTTTTTTGTTAACTCTGAGATCGCCAACCCTGCTTGCAACTCGAGGAGTGGACGCATGATCAAGGCAGAAAGACACGGGCAGAGAGACACAGGCAGGCAGAAAGAGGCAGAGAGAGGCAGATGCAGGGGGAAAGCGGGCGGCTGTGACCTCACCTGGGAGAAGGCGCGGAAGAGGCGGCTCTTGCCAGCATCATCCATGCCTATGCCCGTGTCCCGCACCTCAAACCGCACCATCACCCTCTCCCCTCCTCCTCCTCCCGCTGCCCCACCGCCCTCCTTGCCCCTCCCGTGCACGGCCCCTGCCATCCCTGACGACAACCCCAGGGGAGAGGGTGCGGTAGTAGTAGCAGCAGCAGCAGCACTGGAAGCACCAGATGCACCAGGTGCAGCAGCAGCTGCAGCAGCGGAAGCAGGACTCATCCCAGCAGCGGCTGCTGCACCAGCTCCGGTGCTGGTTCCGGTGCTGGTGGAACCAGTGGCTGTGGCAGCAGCAGCAGCGGCGGCAGTGGCAGCGGCGGCCCCCCTGGCGTTGAGTGCCGGTGCGGGAAGCTTTGCTAGGATCGCCCTGACTGACGTGATTTCAGCAGGCAGCGCCAGTCGCACGTTCACACTGATCCCGCCACTGGTGTGGGGGAAAGGCATGGAGGGAACGACGAGGAGGAGAGGAGAGCAAGGAGATGATGGGCAGAGGTGAAAGGTGATTTAACACGAACAATGGCTTCATACGATGGAAATTGGTAAGGGAGGCAGCATTTAGCGATGCATACGAGCAGGAAAGCACACCTTGCCATTAACACCACTCACCATCACATGTCACCATCACGATTTGTGCCGTGCCACAAGCTGACTCCCCATTCAGCATGTGACAGTCACAAATTAATCATCCAGGACTCGGCACCCATGCATGCATGCACGTTCGGATCAGTCAGTCAGTCAACCAAACCCACCTTGCAACTCTCACAGAGTGCCAACTGCACACGCCCCCACCCTCACTTACGTATCCGTGAACTTGATGGAATTGGAGATGAGGTTCAGCAGCACCTGCCTCAACCGCACTGCATCGCCCACCACCATCTGCGGCACGCCCTCCTCCACCTCCACCTCCAAATACAGCCCCTTGTCCTTCGCCACCACCTCCAGCAGCGCCAACGCTTCTGTGACCTGCCGGACGAGACGTGAGACAGGCAGGGAGGAGACAAAGGCCATTGATTCAAATCCACTTCCAGATACAGCCCTTTGTCTTTCTTCCAACATGTCCTTTCAACCTGATCCTTCCACTCGACCCTTCCAATCCAACCTGACCCTTCCAACGGTCCTGACCCTCACCTGCTGGTGCAGGTCAAACTCCAGCGACTCCAGCGCCAGGTTCCTCGACTCAATCTTGCTCAGGTCCAAAATGTCCGAGATAATCCTCAGCAGATTATCCCCCGACGACCGGATAATCTCCAGATACGACCGCTGCTCGGCCGTCAGATCCGTCCCCAGCAGCAGCTCCGCAACCCCAATCACCCCATTCATGGGCGTGCGAATCTCGTGGCTCATGTTTGCGAGGAACTGGCTCTTGGCCTGGCTGGCTTTCTCGGCGGCTTCTTTTGCGGACTGGAGCTCGGCGGCGTGGAGTTTGATGTCGGTGAGGTCGTGCCACACGGCCAGCAGCGTGGGCTGCCCCTGCAGCACCACGTGCGTTAGAGTTACTTCCATCAGCACTGTTGACCCGTCCCCTGCCGCGTACGCCCACTCAAACCTGATGTGCACGAGGCGGGGAAAGCCGGGGGAAAAGGGGAAGAGGAGGAGCAGGAGAAGGGGGGGGGGGGGGAGGGGGGGGGTGGAGAAGGGGAATGGAGGAGGGAAACAGGGAGAGGACATATGAGAGCCTGCCCGTGTAGTCCCTTTCTCCAGTAGACTCCCTCCCTCCCTCTGCCTCTTTTGCGGACTGGAGCTCAGCGGCGTGGAGTTTGATGTCCGTGAGGTCGTGCCACACGGCCAGCAGCGTGGGCTGCCCCTGCAGCACCACGTGCGTTAGAGTTACTTCCATCAGCACTGTTGACCCGTCCCCTGCCGCGTACGCCCACTCAAACCTGATGCGCACACAGGTGGTGGGTAGAGACGGGGGGAGAGAGGGGAAAGAGATGAAGGGGGGTGTAGAGAGGCAAGGGTGAAGGGTGGGAGAGCGGATGAGGGGAAGTGGGAGTGGGAACATGGGAACCTGGCTTCCTGTGCTGTGCCAGCCGTGTTAGAGTCACCACCACAGACAAACCATCCATTCAACCCACCAGACAACAGCCCAGACTCACACACCCCAGCTCCAACCCACACCCCACGCTCCACACCTCCTGGCACTCACTTGGTGTGGCCCTGTTCAGCAGCCAGCGCATGCACCTCCTCGTACTTGTCCTCCGACCGCCGGCCATCGGGCTGCAGCGGGGGGGAGAGCTCCACGAGGCGCTTGCCAATGAGGTCGCTGCGGTCGCTCAGGCGCAGGCACTGCACGGCCGCGTCGTTGCAGTCGCTGATGCCCGTGTCCACCACCAGCAGATACCCGTCCTGCATGGGTGTGTTTGGGTGTGTGAGGGAGGGAGATGGTTGTTGAGTCGACTGAAATGTTGCTCAGGCGCGGACGCAGGTCCAGGTGCAGGCACTGCACTGCTGCGTCGTTGCAGTCGCTGATGCCCGTGTCCACCACCAGCAGATACCCGTCCTGGATATTGGATGTATGTGTGTGTGAGAGAGAGAGAGAAATAGGTGGATTTTGAGTCGACTGAAATGTTGCTCAGGCGTGGGCGCAGACACTGCACGGCCGTGTCGTTGCAGTCGCTGATGCCCGTGTCCACCACCAGTAGATACCCGTCCTGCATGATGGGTGTGTGTGAGAGAGAGAGGAGTGGTTTTTGAGTCGACTGAAATGTTGCTCAGGTGCAGGTGCAGGGTTTGCACTCCACTCCACTGCACTGCAGCATCATGGCAGTCGCTGATGCCCGTATCCAACACCAGTAGATGCCCGTCCTGCACGTTGGGTGAGAGATAGATGGCATGGCATGGCACGTCAAGGAATGGCACGACACGGCATGGCACGGCGCAGCACAGTAGTGCACTGGGGGGTGCTGCTTTGAGTTCTGTGCTGGATGGTCCGTGCAAGATGAGGGGAATGAGTGGGTTGCCGAGAGCGGAGCACAGGGAACAGGGTGCCTCATTGCTCCCCTTGTGCTTGCTCGTCGTTCCCCACGTTCCCATGTGCCCATCCGCCCATATGCCCACGTGGCTATATCCTCATGTGCCCATGCTCCCGTCACTCCTTCCCTCCCATCCACAACGCACCGTGGAGAGTTCAAAGAACAGCCGGAACCGCTCCTGCAGCACGAGGCGGTGAGTGACATCGGTGACGAGCCAGAGCTCCCCTCTGGGTAAGATGGCCAGTGGAGCAGGGTGCATGCATTGACCACCACATGCTCATCACTCACTCCCCACACGCTTGCTCGTCACTCCCCATGCGCCCACGTGCCCATCACTTCCCCCATTCCCCCCCCTCCCCCCCTTATCCCCCCCCGCCACCGCAACGCACAGTGGAGAGTTCAAACAGCAACCGGAAGCGCTCCTGCAGGACCAGCCGGTGAGTGACATCCGTAAGAAGCCAGAGCTCCCCTCCGGGGAAGATGCTGCGCGCCACCTCCACCCAGCGGCGCTCGCCATCCTTGCGCACCATCACGTGCGTGCGCGGCACCACCTGCCCACTCGCCCTGTCCCTCTCAAACATCGACCTCGCCTGGCGGGGAGGGAGACAGCCATGGAAGAAAGGCATCAACAGATGGGCGAGGGAGGGGAAGAGAGGGGAGGGGAGGGGAGGGATTGGTGGTGGATTGGTGAGCGGGTGGATGGCGGGACGGGCAAGAGGAGGGAGGGCGCATGCTCTGTCTGATCTGATCTCGCATGGCTCAAACATGGTCGGGTGCACGGGGGGGGGGGGGGGGGGGTGGCAGCGGCGCTCGCCATCCTTGTGCACCATCACATGTGTGCGCAGCACCACCTGCCCACTCGCCCGATCCCTCTCAAACATCGACCTCGCCTGGGGGAAGACGGACGGACACAGGGGGAAGGTATGGAGGGATAGTGGGGTGTGGTGGGGGTGGGGGAGGAGAGGGGAGGGAAGTGATTGGTGGTGGGTTCGTGGGCGGGTGGATGGGGGGATGGGACAGAGGGACGGAGTGGATGGGTGAGGTTCATGAAAGTACAGGCACATGCATGTATCCGTTCTGTGCAGTCATCCGTACACGAGACGAGTCTGAATCTGACTTGTTAGACGCCTCAAAAGGCGAATTCTGAGGCACACTATACAAAAAAAGGATGTGACCACCATGCACGCGCATCCTTGCATCCAGCTCTGCTCTCCCCCTCCGCAACCCCTATCCCTGGACAACCACCTGCTCCCCCCTCTCCACCGCAACCCCCCTTTCTGTCGCTCAACTGTCAGCATCGCTGCAGGGACGCCCCCCTCCCCTCTCTCACCTCCATGGCCCTATCGCGGAACAGCACAGTGTACGTGGCTTCAAGGGACGTGAAGTGCCTCCTCGAGTACCCCACGAGCGCCTCAGTCCCCATAAACCACCAACACCCCACCGCACCCACTTCCACCCCTCCTCCCCCCCGTACCCCACCTGTCATATCCCCTCCTGTTCCTTCCTTCCCCTCCCCCGCCTCACCTCCATGGCCTTATCGCGGAACAGCACGGTGTACGTGGCTTCAAGGGACGTGAAGTGGCTCCGCGAGTACCCCACGAGCGTCTCCAGGCGCTCGTTCAGCAGCACCGTCGCGCCCCCGTCCTCCCTCTGCTGCACCCACACTGCGCCCACAGGTAGTGACTCCACCACCATACGAGCCTTTTCCACCGCTGGGTCCTGCCACAGGTGGGCGGGTGGGTAAGACGTGGGGGGAAAGGGGGAATTCAGGGGTGGCCAGGGCCTGTCCTCCCTCTGCTGCACCCACACTGCGCCCACGGGCAGAGGCTCCCCCACCATGCGCGCCTTTTCCACTGCCGGGACCTGGGAGGGGAAGGGAGGGGGCTAAGCAGAGAGGATGGTGCGGCCAGTGGTACCATAACTATATGATGCTTCTTCAGGCGGGGGAGTCAGCTCACAAGGCGAGATGGAGAAGGGGGTAGCACACCACACGGCGTGCAAGCACTCACGGACGAGAGAGTGAGCTGGTCCAAGGGCGATGTTGATGATGATGATGACTCCTTCGCCACTGACAGTGGAGACTCCACAAGCGCGCACATGAGCAAACCACCTGCTGCCGCAGCAGCAGCAGCTCCGCCAGTTCCCCCAGCAGCAGCAGGAAGACCGTCCATAGGGCTGATAAGCGACGCCGAGGAGAAGGACGAGGAGGAGGAGGGCAGCAGCGCGGAAAGAGACGAGGAGTAGGAAAGAGCCAGGGCAGACGACGAGGGGGCGGAGGAGGAGGAAGGGAAGGCGGGCGGGGGGAGGCAGCAGGAGAGGCGCACGCGGCGGGTCTTGCTGTTGGGGAGAGCGACGCGGTACTCCTTTCGGTAAAGCTCCTGCTGCTGAGTCTGGGCGTGGGTGTGGCCGTGGGGTGACTGGTGGAGCGGTGCAGAGGGCTGCGAGTGGGTGGTGGGAGGGCCCAGCGCTGCTAGCCCGCCCTGAGCCGCCTCTGATACCACTGCTGCCCAGGCCTGGGGAGGATGGAAGATGTTCGTGAGAAAGAGAGAGGGAGGGAGAAAGGGGTGAGGAGCGGGAGGGAAAGCGATGGAGAGGGAGAGAGAGGGTTGTTTGGATGATACGAGAAACGAGATGCGCAAGGAGAGAGGGGGAGAGGCATGATGGATGGAGGGAGGGGTGGGGAAGGGGGCGGGGAAGGGGAGGGAGCGAGAGAGGCGTCATAGCGCAGGCAGCTATAGTTAAGCTAGGGGTGATACGGAAGGGAGGGGAGCGGGTGGGGGGCAGGGACCTTGCAGTTCGTCAGGGGGGAAAAAGAACTGGAGTATGTTTGAAGGTAAGGGGGGTGCGGAGGGGAGGGGAGGTGAGGGGGTGCACAGAGCGGGGTGGGGGGGACCTGGAAGTCTTGCAGGTCGTCAGGAAGAATGAAGTCGTCGAGGCAGCGGCCAGAGATGGCGGAGAGGGGGCGGCCCAGCAGCGAGGCAAGGGCGGGCGAGGCGAGGGAGATCTCGCACGTGCACAGCCGCATGGCGAACACTGCCGTGCCCACATGGTCCAGTAGATCCCTGCCGTGCCGTGCATCGGATGAGGACGGGATGGGTGGGAACAGGGGGAGCAGGACAGTGGGGGAGTAGGGGAACGGTAGGCGGGGTAGCGGGAGGAGAAGGGATGGGGTAAAGGGAGAGGGGGGAAGGAGAAGAGTGCTTGCTGAGTTTGTTGGTTCATTCCTTTGTGTGGTTGTTTCATTGTCGGTTGGTTGAGTAAGTGGTTGGTTGGTAGGTACGAGAGCAGGCGGTGTGTTGCGTTGGGTGGGCGAGTGCGTGCGTGTGACTGACCTGAGAGCAGGGTTGGGCAACCAAGGAGGTCCTTCGGGAGCAGAGGAGAACAGCAGCGGGGGAGATATGGTGCCGCTGCCATCTGGGAGAGCAGGCGGAACAGAAAGGTAGAAGGGCATGTGGGAGGGGACATGGACGACTGACAGTATTCCTTCTTAAAGCATTTTTGGTTCAACCAATTTTGATAGACCGGCGATTGAAGGGCTCGATAAGGGTTTCTGTACTTAGCAGGCACAAGTCTTTACTTGGTTACAGAAAGCACCCCCCTTCATTTACTCATCAGCATATCAGCACAAGGACCGACCGAGGTAGAAGAGGGTAGAGGACCACAGAGCGTGCGTGCTTTCAAGCACGTACCAGATCCCAAGCGCGACCGCCTTGACTGGCTCTTCCCTCCCGCGCCCACTCCCAGGCCATCCACAGCCACAGCTGCCTTTCTGTCTCTGCCCCCGCGCTCCCCCCTGACGCCCCTCCTGCTCGTGGACGTCGCACCATAGTACTCCGCCGCCTTGTCACCGTCCTCCACCGCATCGAACCCCTCCAGAGACACCTTCTCCAGCCCCACGTCCAGGCTCAGCCACTTGCTCAAGCGCGAGGGAGGCGCTGCTGTGTGCGTCTGCTGCCAACCAGGCGAATACCGACCCCCTCCCAATCCCCCTCCCGCTCCCCCCACCGCAGTCCCAAACTCTGTGCCCTCCTCCCGGGTGGTGGAGAGAGCGTTGGGCGAACCACTCTCCCTGCCGTATCCTCCCGACCCCCACCCGCCACCGCTGCCAGCTAAACCCACGCTGGACGGACCAGCGAGCTGCTGACTGCTGTGCCGCTGCAGCTGCAGCTTCGGTTGCTGCTGCGCTTGCTGCTGCGGTTGCTGCTGCTGCAATAATGAAGAGGTGTCAGTTTCCCCTGCTACTCCAGAACAGGTGAGAATTTCATGAGCTGTTGCTACTAGCTCTCGCTCTCCGCCTACCTCTAGAAACTGCAGATTCACACATACCGCAATCTCCCGGTTCACCTCCTCACCCTGCCCCGTCCCCACCCCCATCCCCAACTCCCCCCCACCTTCCATCCCCTTCCAGCTTCCCGCACTCCCCACCCGCGGAAAATCCCCACTGCTTCTCCCTCCCCCTCCGCCTCCCGCTCCGCCCGCTCCTCCGCTTCCTCCGCCGCCTCCTCCCCCTCCGTCCCCGCCACTGCCCCGCATTCTCCCCAGCCCGCCTTCCCACCCGGAGTCCTGGCGCGCGCCTCTGCCGCTGCCGTCCTCCGTGCCAGAGTCGAACGAGGAGTCGTCGTCCGTGGCGTCGAACACGGACGCGGAGCGAGACAGGTCTTGATCCGTGGTCGACGCCGACCGGGGGAACAGCCCCGCTGCGCCGCTCAGCCGCCCGCTTCTGTTGCCGACGCCACCGCTGAAACGAGTTGCGCCTAAACGAGACGTCGCTTTTCCGGGAAGCAGGACCTGCTGCTGCGACTGCGACTGCTGCGGCGCTTGCTGTTGCTGCTGCTGCTCTCCCCACACCGATCCCCGTTTCCCTCCGCCAGCTGCCCCTCCCAGCCCGCTTCCGCTTCCGCCCAACCCTCCCCCTCCCGCTGCAGCCTCGGCGCAAAACGCGCGCCCTTTCCCCACCAGATTCATGTTAAACTTGGCGCCTAACTCGTCCCCCGCCGCCAGCGGCGCAACCAGCTGCAGCCAGTCCGCCAGGGGGAGGCTATCCACAAGGTGACAGAGCGACAGGCGGTCGAACTCCGCGGAAGAATACCCCAGCGCGAGCTCCGCGCCCGCGCTGGCGCAGCGGATGCGCGCCGTCCACGGGTCCAAGAGGAATTGGATGCAGAGGGATTGGCGGATGAGCACGGGGATGACTCCGCCAGGCGCAAGCCTCACGCCGAGCGCAGCAGCTCCCGCGGATCCTGCTCCTGGAGGGATGTCAGCGCTGACGATCGAAACACCAGGGTTGGCGGTTCCTGCGCCTGCGCCTGCGCCGAAAACCCCTCCGGCGGAACAGGGAAGACCAGCGGAAGCTATCCCCACGCCGGCGCCCGCGGTCATATTTGACGGGGGGCCACCGAGGGAAATTGCGCGTCCCAGTCCGCCCATGCGCTTAATGGCGGAAGAATTGGGGCGCAGGGGCTGCGGCTGCGCGCGGATGGAGCCGTCGGGGGAAGAGGCGGAACCTTGGTAGATGACTTGCAGGCGGGATGGGGGTGGCTGATGGCGCGGCATTGCGAACGATGTGGCGGGTGCGGCGGAGAAGAATAGGGCGGAGAATTTTCCGGGGAATATACGCACAGTAAGAACGGGTATGTGTGCCAGAACCCTCAACAGTAGCCAAGTATAATGATCAGAAGCTTAAGTTATCATGTGGAGCGACAACCACACGGTAGAGGTTAGTTGGCGCGGCGGCTATTTTCTCCAAAAGAGGTCACCGGTGCCGTTCGGTGCGTTTACACGCCGCATCTTGTTCAAACGGCGTGCACACTCCAAGCCATCCTCCTCCGCTCTCGCCAGCCGAAGTCGCCTGACCAGCAATCCTGTTGTGACAGATGCGAGGAGGAAAGAAGTACCCGAGGCTGCGTTGCTACTGCTATCCTACCAGTAAGCTCGTTATCAGCACCCAGAAAACAACTTGCCGCTGCGATAAGCTGCGACGGGTTACCGGACCAATTTTGCTGACGGAAGTCAGCAGGGAGCCGCGCGGGGAGTCCACGCACTACGTACTAAGGAGTTAAACTGTTAAGCTTAAGTGGCGTGACAGACTTTCTATAACTAACTATGACTACTTAACGCAGCGAGAGAAAGCGAATGGGGGATTACGTAACGCACTGGAGACGCCGGTGACAGGCTTTGCGAGTGAGTAGACAGGGCGGCGCGAATAAGAAGGCAGAGGAGGGCCCCAAGGACCACCACACCTGCTGTCAGCAGCGAAACGTATCATCCCTATGCGCTCATGTCTTTAAATATATACCACTCTATTGAAGCTTCAATGAACTAGCAGCTATAGTACGGAGTGGCGATACCACTACACCCAAGTCTACCCAAAACATTTAGAAATGTACAACCCGTTGGTCTCTCCATTGAGCAAATAGAGAGGTTGTTGCACACGGCAGACCTTGGGATAAGGATAAAGCGTCTTAGTGCTTTTCAGCCCTGGGGTTGTCCCGAAAGGCAGATGAGACGACGACTTCTAGGGCCTCCTTGTTGACAAAAACATCCTCGGAAACTCCACAAGGGCATCCGGAAAAAAGCAGCACACCTCGGGGTTTGTACAGTTGGTGGATTTCCACTAACGGATTGGCTTGCCACCAGTTTCCCGCCTGTTTTTCACACTAGTCGAGTTTTTCTGCCCGTTTCACCGCCCAATTTCCTCCTGCCAACTGTGTGGTCCTACGCTACAATACTGTACGTACAGTAATGTACTTCTGGCGGTGCAACTTGTCAAGGATTTTTTTTCGTTTTTGAGTAAATTTTGACCGAGGCATATAGTTTCAAAAGGACTGAGGTACAAGCTTTCATATTTCGCCAAGGACACAATCTCACTTGCTATAGGTTTCCACATTGGCTCTTCAACATAGAATACCAATTGTAAGCACTAGACTACTCACTAAGTGCTACAGAATGACTACAATAGGACGGTAGCTGCATTGAGCCACATTGTTATACAGCAAAAGGTTAATCAAGGCAGGGTAAGCACACCAATCCACTGCTTCGCTTTATGTTGCATAACCCTCTTAAACTCCCTACACAAGCTGCTCTTATGACATGGCATGCAGTTTAGTGAATACGGTACCAGAAACATACAGTACATACATCAGAATCAGAACACACACCTGCCCAACCTGGGATGCAGGCCCTCAGATATCAGCGTAAAACACGCTGATTAGGCTGATTTTGTAGCTGTGATTTTCGTTTTCCCTGAAATTTCAGTATCTTCTTTATATTTGCACTGATTTTCCAGTTTGAAGTATAGGACTACCCTGACGAATTAGTGTATAGATGTACCAGTGACACTGAACCATCAGTATAGTGTACTGAGTCACACTGATTCGGACTTACCAAAATGCATAGGGTACAAGACATGGGGTGCGCGAACGTGGGATTTATGCAATATCACCGCCACGCACTAGTAAACCTCTCACTCACGGGACTTGAACCCATGACCTCTCTAACAATAGGACGAAGCCTCAGACAGCTACATTAGAATACTGATTACAAATTTCAAACTTAATTCCTAGACTAATGAATCAGTTAACCATGAAATTTTACCCTGACAAAATCAGCATAAACTTCACCCCCAACGCTGATTTGGTCACTACTTTGGGCAGGGCACGCTGATCCATCAGCATGCCCTGAAACCAATCTGAGGGCCTGCTGGGATGCCTCTTGTTGATGGACTGACATACCAGTAAAAATTATCCAACCACGCCAGACATTCTTAGTGGGGCTCCTTCTGACTCTGCAACCGCCATAACTGCAGCAGCCAGCATAGTGCACGCCACTTGATGCCCGCCTGCCCAATCCTCTGTCTGGCAGCCTCGGGAGCAATACCGAGCCTCTCCGCATGCCGCACAGCATCTAAACTCCTCCGGCCTGCTCTCCTTCCGCCCACACATTGGGTTAGAGCAGGACTGCAGAGGGGTGAGCGAGTGCAGATGGGATGACAAAAGGTCAGGGGAGTGAAACGGACCTGGCCTGCTTTCTGCAGTGGCCAACTCGTCTGCTGCTTCTGCTGCTGCTTCTGCTGCTGTTCCTGCTGGTGCAGCAACTGAGATTCCTACTCCAGTCGTTCCTGCATGACTCATAAATTGATGCGCGGCAAGCTGTGCTGCTCTGCCGTGTGGAGCACTAGGCAGTGCTGCTGGCCGCACGAGAGCATCTAAACCCACCCCTGCACTTGTCTCTCTGCACAGATCACCACACTCCTCCAGGCATGCTGCACCGCTGCTCTCACCCATTCTCATGGCACCACCACCATCACCGCGAGCTGCAACGCCCCACTGCACAGGCCCATCGCGCATCATCCCAGCACACCGGTCCGCACTGGCAGCAGCAGCAGCCGCCGCCGCAGCAGCATGCCAGTCCACAAGGAAGCGGTGTGAGGCGTCAGTGGGACATCTCTCTTCTGTCACCTGCAGTTCCAGCAGCTCACTAGCTGTAGGAGACCCCAGCGCCTCCCACTCCTCCCCTCTCATCCAATCCTCCTCCACCTCCTCCACCTGCCTTTCCTGCCTTTCCTCCTCCTCCAGTTCTTTTGTCCCGGTGAAGGAAGCCAGAGGACATATCCTTCCTTGCTCCTCCAACATGCTCCCTTCCCTCGCATCCCTGACACGAGAGCTGAGGGGACCGGGACCATTGCTGCGCAGTCTGTCACCCTCCAAGGAGGTCCAGCGCTTGGGTTCAAGAGAGGAGCTGGCGTGTGCTCTTGAGCCTTTTGCCTGCTCTGCCTGCACGAGCATGAGCGCATCCGGTCCCTCCGCGCCGGCAATTTCGGACAGCAGCACGCGGGTCGCCGTCGACGTTGCTACTGGCGCCGCTGATGCTGATGCTGGTGCGGAGGCTGCACATCTGTGCAGTGAAGTCGATTGGCCACCAGCAGCAGCGGTTGCTGTTGCTGCTGCTGATGCCGATGCTGCTGCCGCCACCCTTTGAGAGGCTTCTAGGAGGTTGGCCTGGGCGAGCAGGTGGTGTGCGGTGAGCGAGTCTTGCGGCACGCCACAGCCGTCCTGCAAGCAGTGCGCTAGCTCGCGCAGCGCAGGCACATAGCACGCTGAGGCTGCTTGCATGCACAGCTGCACCGCTGTAGGCAGATCACTGGAAAGAAGGGGAGAAGGGCAGGGGATGCGGGGGAAAGAGAGGGAGGGGTAAGACAGATGAGCAGAAAAAGAGGGGAGCGCGGAAAAGAGAACGGGAGAGAGGAGGAGGAGGGGTGCGAGGTGGACCGGGTGGGTGGCGGCAGGGACGGGGACGAACCGGTAGAAAGCCCTAGAGTGGTGTCGTTCAGTCTGACATGGCATGGCATGGCTTTGCATGGCAAGGCATGGCAAGGCACGGAATGGCATGGCATGGCACGGCATGGCATGGTTTAAGGCAGCAGCATGCGAGACCGTGCGCGTACCGAGGGTGCGGGGCGAGCGGTCCACTGGCGTTGAAGTGCATAACGGCAAGAGAGTAGAGCGCTGGTGCATGGCCCGCCATGGCTGCCCGCGCCAGTAGCTGCATGCCTCGCTCGTGCAGGTCGAGACAGTAGAAGGAGACCTGGTGGGGGAGTCGAGGAGATTGGAGTGGACAGGCGAGGAGGAGAGGTGTTAGACTTCGGGGAAAGCGCGAGAAGAGAAGAGAGGAGAAGGGAAGGCAAGGCAAGGCAAGGGGAGGGAAGGGAAGAGAAGAGAAGAGAAGAGAAGAGAAGAGAAGAGAAGAGAAGAGAAGAGAGAAGAGCAGAGGAGAATAGAGCAGAGAAGAGAAGAGCAGGAAGAGAAAGAGGGAGGCAAGTTGGACAGTAAGTAGCAACGAACCAGACGAGAGAAATCATGAGCTCGGATCCCCAGAAGTCAGCCGGCTGTTGTGGGGCTGTTAGGCTGTGAGGCCGTGAGGAGAGCTCACCATGCCGAGAAAATGGCAGGCAGGGGCGTTGCCCGCCTCGCAGCACTCCCGCAAAAACTGGTGCGCGTGAGGGCACCACTGGCGCAGCCTCACTTCCACCGCCGCGGAACTCGCTGCGGCCAGCGTTGCGGGGGCGTGCGCCGTTGCGCGCATGGTGCGACAGCTGCAAGGAGGAAGGGGAGAGGCGGAGGAGGAAGTGGGAAAGGGGAAGGCGTCAGGGAAGAGACGAAGCAGTAGGACGAAGGAGATACTCAAACGAGAGAGGGGAGAGGAGTAGTAGCAACCTCAAGCGGAGGTTTAAAAGAGCAATGACATACGCACCTCAGTCGCAGATTTGCGATGTCGCCGGGACAACTGGCCGACGCTGCGACTCGAGCGACGATGGAGGATAGCAGCTCGCCCTGCGCGACAGGGGGACAGGGAAACAGGAGGGAAAAGAAAAAATAGTCAGCCCGGTACTGGAAACTGCGCAGCAACGTTGAAACTTGACGCAGCAGCAGCAGCAACAGCAGCAGCGGTGTGCGGTCTATAGATGATTACTAGAGCTGCATACTAGACAGGATTCTACGAGTCCTTCGATAGAGGTAGGAGTCCTTTGTCGGACGAAGCCGCGAGAACGTACCGGAAGGTGCAGAAGCCGGCTCTGCGAGTCCGCCGTCTCTTGCGGCGCGTGTGACGGAAATTCGACACCTGAATCCTCTTCTCCACGCATCCAAGAATCCGCCTCGATCTTCATGAAGCTGGCCGACAGTATCCCGTCGCCAATCATTGAAGCATCGTCTGTACTACTCGAGCACGTGCGAAGCCGTTTCGATGCCGGACAATCCGGCGCTACCGGGACCATCGCCGGTGCCTCCGCAGGCACGGAGCGGTGAGATGAAGAAGGATGGACGAGATTGCTGCTTGTAAGGAGTGACGACCAACGGAACTCGAGAATGGCGTCGCGGGATGGGGACTTAATGCCGCTTTGGCCCATGGAGACTGCTAGAGGAGCCAGATTGAAGTGGAACGACGTGGGTCGCTGAGTCTTGATCAACAGCCTTAGGTGTTATCACTTATGTTCGTCGAAGCGAGAGACTCGAAACTTCAAGTTTGGGGCCAGGCACAATCTCGTGTTTTGAGCGGATTGCGAAGAACCAATGCAAACGCTGAGATGAACTAGAGGCTGGGAACAAAAGTAGGGAGTTGAGGTGAAGAAATCCTGAGAGCGAATTACGTATGAGTGGATGGAGTTGGTATTGGTGGGGAGGGAACGTGGGCGAGAGTGGAGTGAAGTGTCTTCACCTGGTTGTGTGGTCTGGTGTGCTGCAGATTGTTTGTGAACAACAAATACACGGGAGGTGGTGAGGTGAGGTATGACAAGTGAAAGGCGTATGGTTCTGGTCAGTGTGAGGAGGGACGAGTGGGGAGGGAGGGGAGATGGGAGAGTGGGACGAGCATGCAGAGGGAGAGGAGGGGGTGGTGTGCTGGTGGTGGGGGCTAGGGGGCAGGCTAAGACAAGCCAGGCTGGACCAAGACAAGCCAGCCCAAGCCAAGACAAGCCAGCCCAAGTCAAGCCAAGCGAGGCGAAAGATGTGCGACTGCAACGCTGGCGATGGTGCGGTGGTGACTTCCATGTTACAGCAGGGTGGGGCAAATTTCCAACAGAAGGCACTCAATTCGGTTGAGATGGGATTCGGCCAGTGCACTGCCAACGAACCGAAGCGCTAACGCGGAATGAGCAGATCGACTGCATCACTGTTGTTTAACACAGTTCTCCGGAGAGCAGTTAGGGCTTTTTATTACGGGAGCACACCTGACCACAAGGCTGTCCAACAGAACTTTAATAAGTCACAGCATCTAACGAGAAGCATTTCTAAAGAAGAAATGTCTTGCCGAACATCATGACAAAGAATCCAGTCAAACGATACATTGCTCTCGGCTGTCTCAAAACGAACCTCCCATTTACGGAAACAACCTTAAATTATGTACTCCTGCAACTGTGAAAGAAGGATGGAGAAGCACTTGCAGCACGCGCACGACTTCCCTCTAAATGCTATGATTGCTCCTACAGCTCGATGAAAGTGGGCCAGGGAGAAGGGGGAGCTTCGCTATTGACTCACTCTACAGAGACTGTGTCACTTGAGCACCACAACCATTTTCCCTCTGACACTTTTGTCATGATTAAGACTGGCTCTCACCATGCCAGCGCTTCGCGCGTGCATGAGATCCAACAAGTATCACTCATGATGTTGCAAACCATTTTTGGATTCCAGATGTCTCAAAGGTTTTGAGGACTTTAGCAACACGACACTGCCTGAAAATTTATGTACTACCCGCACATTTATGTATCGACAGTGGTAACAAAGTTCCCGTTCTCATTCCGGTCGGAACAAGGTTTTTTACAATAGGTCACACAAAGCAAACCCTGAGCTGGAAAAGAGTTCAGGGCAGTTTCTGGACCATCCAGTTCCATCTGAACTGAACTTCTTCCCTGCCATGCAGGTAACGAAGAAGTCGTTCACTCAATCGTGCAATAGAATCCTAAGAGTGATTGCATGCAAATCCTGGATTCGTTGCTGCAGGCCTCCACAAATCGCGAGAATGAAAAAAGATTCGCAACGAAGATTCTTGCACCCATGCTGCATTTGATGCGATCGCCATAAATGGAGACAAAACGCACCGCAACCCAACCCAGCCACCCGAGCAAAAATTTATTCCGTTAAAAGAAATGGCTCAATAGATATATTAACCGCTTTTGTTTTAGCCCCTTATACATTTCTCACATTCGAATTGCAGGTGGTCAAAATTTTGTATATTATCCAACCACAGTTCATCCAGGCTCTTAGCTCTCACTATGAGTCGGGTCACGTAGCACTCAATTACCGGTTTCACATGTTATATAACCTGGTAAGTCTGCCCAGGTGATGAGACTAATCGCGCATCCTCAACTGACAAGCATCAATAGCTCATTAACTTGTAAACTGAATCCTTCAAACCACATGTCACGGGGGACAGTACAGGCGACTAACGTCTAGACTAATTCGGCCAACATGCCTGAAGCGCCATTCACCTCAATCTCCTCTACACTACATCTCACGTTGTAAGCCGCATAATTGCATCCACTATGTCCCCATCAGTGGATTTCAATGCGGAAATCGCCTTGCCACGGGAGACGCCAGCCTGCGTCATGACGAGTTCAATATCCTTCTCCTCCACACCAGTGGCATCCACATCCTCCTCCTCCGTCTCGACTGCCGCCTCGCCCTCAGCCGCCTTTGTGGGTACTGCGAAGTCTGGGACCTTGAACTGCGGAAGGCACAGATACGGGGTAGTAAGGGATGGTGAGGGGTGAGTGGCGGCCGGGAGCAAACAGGGTGTGACATCAATTGCGCAACCCTAACAGCTGACCAGAAATTCACACAAACAAGGTCAAACCAGAAACAGCGAATCTCCACCAATCCCGACAATCCCAATAGCAAAGCACACCACACCCATCCACGAAGCCAGCCCTCCGCGCCTTCATTACCTGCTCCGCGGCCTGCGACTGCACATGCGCGCTGAGGTCCTCGATCTCGCCGAAGATGATGTACGTGTCAGACGCGGGGCTCTTAAACACGTCGGGGCGCGAGATGGCGAACAGCGTGCTCTTGCTCTGCTTGATGGTCACGCGCGACACGCCCGTGAGCTGCTTCAGCCCCAGCTTCTGCATCGCCTTGCGCGCCTTCTTCTCGCTGCGGCTCTGCGGGGGAAAGCAGGCGTACCACGGGAATCATATGGATATGTGTGTGTGAGAGGATGAATTGGACAGATTCGGGAAGAAAGTAAGACGTGAATTGGTGATGGGGGGAGAGGGGGGAGGGGAAGGGGGAAGGAGGAACGAGGAACCAAAGAGAGGAGGGGGGGTCAGGAGGACGAGGGGGGAAGAGGAGAGAGAACGGGGGTAAGGGGGAGAGGGGAAGGGGGGAAGGGGTGGAAGGGGTTGGGGGGGAGGGGGAAGGGGCCTGTGTGAGGAGGAGAGAGAGGGGAAGGGGGCTGTGGGGAGGGGGGAAAGAGTTGGGGGTGGGGGGGTGGGGGGGGGGGGGAAGCAGGCAGTGCCATAGCGATGGGGTCCGGACCTGCTTGCCCTTCCTGTTGCTGCCGGCAGCATCGCCCTCCTCGCCATGCTCATCGTCGTCCTCATCATCGTCCTCGTCATCGTCCTCCTCGTCCTCCTCCTTGTCCTCCACCGTCATCTCCTCCTTGGCCGCCGCCGCCGCAGCCTCCTGCTCCTTGAGCTTCAGCTCCGCCACACCACCTGAGGCGGCGGGATGGTCGGACAGTCAGGGGCAACGAGATTTTGTGTCAGGCACAAGAATTTGCTCGGGAGAATGGATCGTTGTGCAGGTTTGCAGATTACGGAAGATTAGGTAGCTGCTGAGAATAATGGACTCCAGGAAGAGACTGGGATGCGCTCTTGTAATACCCGACGAAAACCAACGGAAAAGGCGACGCCCGCAGCCACCGCACTCGACCTAAGCCACCATATTCCCAGCTTTCACCCTAGACATATAATCTACCCGAATTCATGTAATTTACCTTCTACTTCCTGGGCCGTCATGATGGTAAAAGAGCGCGTAAAAGGCGCGTAAAAGAGCAGGCAGAGGAGCTGGCGAGATTAGGTTAGGCGGAAAGAAAACTAGGACTGAGGAAAGCTAGCAGATACGTGGGTGGGATGTGTGACGGGGAGTGGTCGCAATGAAGAAGAGGGCGGGGGACGGTTGGCGGAAGGGGGAACGCAGAGGCGCAAAAGTGAAAGGGGAAAAGGGGAGACGATCAGCGGGGTGTGGAGGGGATGCAAACATAGGGCATGACGTGGACTGGATGAGCTGTCGCTGTCCCAGTGTCATGGAATGTTGATCAAGTATTTGTGGGATTAGCTTTCGACCAGTAGTAGAACCAAAATGTTACTAGCTACTCCTTGTAAGGAATTTTGCTTAATTCCTTCCTGAGGCACCTAAAGCGCGTACAATTCCAACTTTCGGAGTTCCAGGCTCGGTCCAACAACCTCGCCCTCCAAACGTCCCTCGCTTCGCCTTCAGGTTTTCCAAACCCAAACCTGCACCCGAACATGCGATGTTCCGCGGCTTCGGCGTAACTACCCTTCGCTATATCAATGTTAGATCTCATTATTTTCGGAGTAATCGTAATTGTTACGAATCGTAAAACATGAATGAATTATTGTGCACTCCTTACCGCAGCTAGCGAAGCAGGCACTACCGAAGATGAAACCGAAAGGGTGGAAGTGATGCGAAGGGTCGTACGGTTACGAAAGCATCTAGACCATCGGGCAGACAGTATTGTCAGAGGTCCACTGGTGATCCCCGATTGATCCTAGGGAAGGGTTATAGGCTCGTTGTCCTGGGGGGTTATGGGCGTACTGACCCGCTGCTTAACAAGCCCTTTTATCCTAATGGTCTAGTGGTTGGGATTCTGATATGGTATCAGAGCGAAGGTCTCGGGTTCGAATCCCAGTGTGTGCACTTCGGGCATCCCAGTGCGGGGGGGTGTCAGAGGTCCACTGGTGATCCCCGATTGATCCTAGGGAAGGGTTACAGGCTCGTTATCCTGGGGGGTTATGGACGCACTGACCCGCTACTTAACAAGCCATTTTATCCCAATGGTCTAGTGGTTGGGATTCTGACAAGTATCAGGCAGCAGCAGTGGCGAGGATTTTGCCCAAACAGTTCCGTAACCACCTGGAGTCGCACGGTTGAG